TTTCGTAATAGAGAAAGCTGGCTAACACGTCTGATGAATGAAATGTAAAGGGATTGTTTCTACACCAAAGCAGGCAAAATCCCTGAAGACTCCATGTACTACGGAAATGTGCTCATATGTTCTCTTCCAGTGGTAGCAACACTGCCTTACGAATGCTTACGCCTGCGGAGTTTGCCACCCCCAGACCTGCTCATCCGATTGCACAAGCGAGTGCTTCACTTAATCCTTTTCATGACAAATAAACTGGGTTACATTAAACAGCTTAGCAGTAGGGCCCTTCCACCTCGTCTCCTTCTGACTTACAGCGAGGGCGTGATCACACAATTAAGAGCAGCCAGCAGACCTCGATGGCAGTAAACTTTGGTGGAGTTGAGCCACAGGGGTGATTTCTGTACCGAGGAAAAACGATGCACGGGATAGCCGAAAGCTGAACCTCAGGACTGGCATTTCAATCTTGATCTTCAGGAAAAGCATATGGAAAGATTCTAAAAATCACTATAAACAGAAGTTTAGTTGGCTTCCTATGCCATCACCCAGTGGCAGCTGTTTAGAGGACAGTATAAGAAAGTTCCACAAATAAAGCAATATTTTGTTACTCATTCCCAGCTTCCAGGAAGGTGCAGCTCAGGGACATCCCAAGACAGTGGTGTAAATTAATTTTTAACAGCCCCGATAGACTTTTGTCTCACATCTTTATTGAACCCAGATTTTGGTAAACTGTTGCTTTTATTTAAAAAAAAGTCTAAAAATGAAGGAGGACCGCTTTGAACTTTATTTGGGAAAAATTCCTACCAATCCTTTCCACTTTCCTCATCCCTTCCTCCCCACAAAGGTATTTCTTTGGGATGGCTGTAAACAACAGCCATGGGGATAGCAGTTTTGTGTATTTTGGCTTTTCAAAAGGCTTTGTAGGCAAAAGATCTCAGCGTAATTTAGGGAACCAGCAGTGGTATTGGCATCATTAGGCTGAAAAGTATTTTCTTTTCAAAAAACTACGTATGTTCTCACTTACTCTGTTTGCTTGCTTTCATAGAAGAAAATTATTCATGATTAAAGGGGAAAAAATCCTTCTGTGACTGTGTAATTAATAGAATCCATGCACAGAGAATCTCGATTACACACTCAGAGCTCAAGATGAGCAAGTCTTTCTCCACTTTTGGTCAAGCACAATTTCAGCACTGCTCCTGCCCTGCTGAAATTAATAGTCGAGGCTGATGTGTGTGTGCTCACCTACTTCAAAGAATGGACTGAAACCAAGCAATTCTTCCACTACGATAGCCAGGTCTCCCAAGAAGATACCCAAATAGCAGTATCATGGTCTATCACCTACCCACCCAGAGCTCCACTGTATGTCTGGTACGTCTCCGTATACCGGATCAGCAATTCCAGCTATGAAAGAATATTTGAAGGGATGTGAGACCTTGAACTTCATACTCCAGCTATAACTACCCTTCAGGAGCTGCTGAGACTCCCTCACAGGCTGTTATTCTACCTAGCAGAAAGCCTGTAAGAATTTATTTCCTTTGGACTACCCAGACAGGATCACAGGAGACAACAGAGCAGGTTAGACAGGGTAAATGGTTGATGAATTAGCACACAGACATGAAGACTGAATTTCGTCACAGCACAAATTTACTATTTATCGAATAGTATATTCCCCAGTAACCCACGCTTTTAAGAAAGCAGAAGGAAAACAGGGTTCTGGATGTTTACTTTTGACAGACTGTATTTCACATTTTGGGCAATAATCTTGGCCCCTCTGTAATTCTTTCAGCCAAAATATTCAGACCAGCATGCCAAAAATCATACTAAAAAAATCCAAATTTAAGCAGCTGAATCAAAGTGTCTTGCTTTTCTCAATTTCTGTTCAGAGCTGGACTCCTATTATTGCAACAAGAGATGAAGAAGCCAATATTTGAAATATAAATTTCATATAATGAATGAGAAGTTTTTGCAAAGAGAAAGAAACATAAGTGAACAAATCCATATGGATTATATACGTGTTTATCCTTCTCAATTTCTGTTCAGAGCTGGACTCCTATTATTGCAACAAGAGATGAAGAAGCCAATATTTGAAACATAAATTTCATATAATGAATGAGAAGTTTTTGCAAAGAGAAAGAAACATAAGTGAACAAATCCATATGGATTATATATGTGTTTATCCTTCACAAATGCTGTTATGGAAATTTAGGCTGCTTTTTATTAAAGCTTCTTCTAACTGCTACACACTCCTAGTTTGCAGCTAGCCATTACACAAGACTACCATCAAAAAGGATGAATACTTACCAGTAACGTTGATTAGAAGTTATGCTCATCAAAGTTATTTAATCTCCTCAGTTTGCCTGTATACACAGGCATACTAAACTGTCAGCTGCTTTATGGGGAAATAACTCTAAAAGGACAAGTGTTCTCAGCAATGTCATCAACGTGTAAGAGTAAGCAGTTTTTCTTTTGGTTGGAAACATAGAGGTCATTACTTCATTTGTATATTAAATTTATACTGTGCCAGTTCTGCAAGGATTTTTTTTTAATTTAAGAATGCTTTCAGCAGGAAAGACCTATTACCATTTTTCTCCAATCTTCAAAGCATCTTCAACCAATCACAAAATCTTCTGAAGATGATGCTGATTTACATATTTGCATGTAGCAAATGAGGAAACCAGTTTTTGAACTTAAGACTAATTGTTTGTATGACAACTTGTACTTGTGATTCAGCATGTAACTCCTACCGGAGCTGGGAAATGCTCATGGAAAACAGCACCACCAGCAAGTGAAGAATTCCCTTTGGGCAGGACTGTACAAGCAGTTGGCGTAACAAAGTGAAGGTGTGACATTCTGGATAAGGAAGAATCAGCTCTGCAGCACCACAGTTGCATTCTAGTTAAGAGACTGGCCTAACGTTGTGGTGGTGATGGGGGAATGCAGAAAATGTACATGGTGCCATGACTGAGGATTGCAGCATAATAGATACGTGCAAGAAAGGTGAGTGTTACAGACATTCTGAGTGAACAGGCAATTTTGAGTTGCAGTTGCATTGCTTCCCTGATCACATTTTTTTATGTGAGGTATTTCTTAGAAATGCAAAATGACAGGGGAGATGGAATAAAAGAACTGCAACACAGAATCTCCAAGTTCCCCCTAACAACCAACAAAATGGGTCACCTGGCCAACTACCAGCAACAGCCCATGCCCTGAAATTCAGAAGCAGTATAAAGATTATCTGGCAGCAACTCTAAGTCTGTAGTAGTGTATTTCTCCCTTTCAGCCCTTAGTAAATAGTTCCTAGGGAACACTTCATCCAGTTCTCTCTACTACCAACCTCATTAAGCATATTAAACCCTCTTAGACAGTTAAAAGAACGAAAGGCAAGGGAATTTCTTTTATGTTTTATATAAAGTAGGAAAATAATTCAATGTTTGTCTTGTATGAGGTCTCTACAAATACTTCTGGAGAGCAGAATTTCTGCTTCTGCTAGCAGAACCAGTTTGATGCAGAAACAATCACATCAAGAACTGGGAATTGAGTTGAAAAGTAAGAATAGCCCAATCCTACCCATCCTTTCTTTCTTCTCTACTGAACTGCACAGGGGAGACACCATCACCACACTGGAAACATTTCAAATAGGAACAGAGAGATCCATGCACATTAATCTGAGAGAGGGTTTCCCCCAGCAGATGCAACAGCCTTCCCATTCATTTTGTACCATACCGTGCGTGTGTGGTATTGACTAGCATTCCTGTGAAAGTCCTGTCAACACTCTTTGTGCTTCTCAATATGTTAAAACCATCCTTGCTCCAAGTTCAATCTTCCTTAAACAATACAGCAGCTAAAAGAAAGCTTTAGCATCTGAGAACTGGAGTGCTAAAGTCCACAGAAGTTTGTTTATAAAAAATTAAAAATAAATTACAAGGTGTTATGAAGGAAATTTATTTGGTCAACAAAAGAAAACCCAAGCAAAGCACTGAATTTTTGACAAAACCTGCCAAAAACAAGAGTGAAGACAAATGCAGGACTGTTCATAACTCTTCTCCCTCTCCTACTTCACACAAGTTTTTCAGATTAATCACACCAGTAATAAGTCTTGGATACTGGGGGCTTTTAATTTCAGTGTTCAGTCTAACTCCATCTTGTCACATCTAAAGTGAAGGAGGCGAAACTGAAATGAAAATGCTGCTTTGAAAAAACTTAGTAGCTACTGGTAAAACCAAAGATATTGCAAACAGCACCACAGACTTGCTTTGGTGCAGCTGGCTGCTGCAGAGGACAGAGCAACTGCTGGTGTGGATTACAAAGTACGCACACCAGACACAGTGGGCACGAACTGAAGTTAGAATTTTAGTTGTGACCCTCCTCTGTTGCCAAAAGGGCACATTCATGTTTGTCACAATTAAAGCAGCATAAGGTTCCTTTGCCCTGGCATGGAAATGCTGCTTAATACAACCTACAGCCCTTCAGCACACAATGATACGTAGCGACAGTGCTTCACAGAAAGTCCGTGGAAGTGTTCAGGGTACCATTTTCTAAGGAATCACAAGGATTGAGGGGCCAATTCTGCCCCTCAAGTGACTGAAGTGGAGCCAAACATCCCGTGCAGATGGATGAGTACACAAGAGGGGCACATCTAACTTGCCTATGTTTAAGCTTTGTGCATGTAATATGCAGGTGGGCACTGGAAAGCTGCACCTAAAATAAACACAGCCCTCAGGGCTACATGGCTTCCACACCTCCACATACAGTGTCCAGATGTACCCTTAGTCTGTCAAACTAACACATCCTCTTTAAAGCTTCAAACCAAGTAGATGCTTTTTATTAGAATGGCAAAAATTACTGTAGGCACAGGTCCCAAGAGTGCTTTGTCCTCTTAAATTTCTCTTCTGCTAAACAGATCTCTAACAGACATGACCACATCAGGCTTCTCCCCCACTCCCCCCACCACCTTCATTAAAACATTTTTCTATATAATGTTGCTTTAGAGTCAAACTCCTGCCAGACAAGTATCAGTTTGGAAGAAAAACTTCCTGCTTTATTACAAACCTTTGAAAAAGAATTCAAATGGCTGGGCTACAGTAATTTGATATGTTGTATCTTGGCCAGTGGGCTCCTGGTTCTCAAAAAAAAAAATAAAAATCAAAGATTAGCAGACATAACACTTCAAGCTGTGCTGTGTTAAACAGGATCCAAATGCTACTAAGTTAAATAAGACTAGAAAATGGGATCGCTCGATTTCCTAAATGGGAAGAGCAGACAATTTGTACAGTCTTTTTCTTTTTTGAATCGCTTTAAATTTTCCCAGTTCACTGAGTATAGACATTTATGTTTCTTGCAAGCAGGTCAAGGCAGGCTGGTATCAAATGAGCGAAACTGTGACTTCAGACAGGTTTGATATTACTGTCCCTCCTATTACTACTTGACAACTGTATGTAGGTAGAATGGACTGTGACCATTGCTGGCAGACTGTGTAAAAGGAACACAGGGCAAAAACACACTGCCCTTGCTGGTCTCCGCTCCAAAGCCCAACCAAAACCAAAATTTGCAGTTTGCTCGTTCAGCAACACAACTTCCTGAGGCACCCATCCTTATAGCTCTGTGCCAGGCACAGTCCAGGTACTCACAGCTTAAGGGGAATAATGGGCCAGTATTTGGGCTGCTTTTTGTCGCAGTTTCTATCAAAGATAAGCTGCATGGCAGCCTCCATTGCCTGAATTTTGGCAGCTTCAGCACCATACAGCTTCTTCATTTCTGCCATTCGCCTTTCGCCAGGTCTTTCTGCAGGCGGCTGCACAGAGCGCTCCATCCTTTTGTGAAGGTCTTGATCAGCCTCCACGTACTGCTGCTCAGCTTCCAGCTGCTGCTGTCTCCCTAGAGAAATAAACCACAGGAGATGGAAATTACTGAGCTATCAACCAATCACATTTTATTTCAACTTTTAAAATATTACATATTCAAATCTGTGCTGGGTCTTAGAGGGCTGAGATCCACACATTCTAGGGTGCAGCCAGTTTCTGCAACTTACGAAACAAACTGCATGTTACTTGTCCTGCTGTGCTCATTATGCATAACGATGAATTTCTACTAAATATCATGATAAAGCCAGCCTGGAAGGAGTGGGGAGAAAGGAAGATGATCCTGGAACTGAATCCTAAAACTGTAGAAAACCTCTGTATTAGTAGAAATTAATCAGAATCAGCATTGCTTAATTTCTCCCAACATATACATGCCCTGAAAAAACCCAACACCTAAACCTCCCACCTCCCCCAAAAAACCCCAACAAACAAGAGTGTTACTTCCAAAGTAATGACTTAGCAGATGAGATAAGGAAACAATGCACAGGACAGAGCGACTTTAGCTGAACCATAGCCAAGAGACAATGTAATCATTTAATACTCTATGAAAATGAACAAATCCATCTGTCATGTAAGTGTCTGCCATCAAGTGCATCCAATGAAACACAGCTGTAAGCACTGTGTTTCAACTATCCAACCTCATTCATTTCTCAAGACTTGTGAAGCTCAAAACTGGCAGCCTTACTGATACTGCTTTGAAGACAAAACAAAACAGCACCCAACGTAAACCCCTGCACCTAGTCTTTTAAAGAGAATTTAAAACAGTTCACAGAAGTGAAACATTTGGACAAACCTGTCATCAAAAATCCTTTTTGGTAAATCCAATCTGGAAGGAACAACTTGATTTTGCATGCCCAAACTTACCTCCACTTCCTAAGTGCTGCTCTGATGGAACAAATAATGCTCTGTAGAGTTAGAACAGAGAAGTGCTATACAAGACTTCCCTCTTATGGGGATATTTCTACAAGATGAAGAAAATCACCTGGCAGTTGAACTCCTTCGCCTACCTATAACCAGTGATAGTTCTCAGAACTGCATCACAGAAACAGTCCACTACTGACAGCACTTTTTTTTTAAAAAAAAGCCAAACCCACCACGTTAAAAAACAAAATGAAACAAAAAACATTAAGAGACAGTGTCCACGGGTCAGGATGCATTAGTCACATACAGGACATGCTTCTCAGCATTTGGTGCCATGTACCTATTCCCTCCTTCCCCTAACACAGAGATTTAGCTTCCATAAAACACATGACATCTGCAAACCCTAATCCAAAGTTAAGTATCCTGACATATCCGTGTCAAACATCTGCAGTTTATTTTTACACTGGAAAGTACTGTACAGAGCAGCCAACTGACTGTCAGCCTTCCTAAATGAATTATCCTCTGTATCTCATTCACAGAAAATAGGTATTTTAAACAGCATAATCAGAAACTTCATTTTTGGCATCTGTTTGTCTGACAGGGACACAGCAAGCTTTTGTCCTGTCATTTCAAACACCACCCACAGTTTTGTGTTGGTAGTCGAAGGGCAGGAAGGCTTGAGGGGTTATTAGCAATCTATTCCAGAGAGCCGTTTCACTTTCAGAGATTTTGCTTTAAGGGCACACCCCTCAAGTGGGCTGCAATGCCAGAATTCACAAGGAAACATACATTAGAGTCCACATGTGTTTTTGGAGGAGTCAGATTTATTTGGTGTCAGGCCATTTTAACCAGAGGGTCTGAATTAAAAGAACTAACATTGCCTACAGAGAGCCCAGCACTATGAGGACAGGCTATAGCACTCGGGCTGTGACTGCACAGGTCACTGGCACCCCACTGAAACAAACTTCCTGGGACACCAGACCGCCCACAACCAGGTAACATGCTTTTAGCATGAACTTGATGCAATTTATGCTGAATATTATTAGACAGAAAACAAAAATCTATGCTGGAAAACCAATGTCTCCCACTATAGGTTACACAGAAAAACTCTGGCAAGGCAATGAATCGAACCCGTATTTGTTGACTCTCTTGGGCCACAAAGATAATTCACTGTATTTCTGTATTGCCCATGGAAATTATTTATTCATTAGTTCCATAGCTGCATGATAGAGACAGCTGCTTTCTTGCTTGCTTGGCATAGAATGCTCTCTGATAGCTCATTGCACACAATAATACTTAAGAAAAATTAACTTCTCTGGAGATAGATAATGAATTCTTCTATTTGGAAATTAAATGGGTCTCTAGCAGAAGCTTTAGGATGGATGAGTGGATTACAGTTTATTGCGCATCAATCTCCATTTTGTAGTTCATAAACCCACAAATCCTAATGTTAACAATCAAAATAATAATACCAATTTAAATTCCATTCCCCAAATTACCTAACCAATGTCTGGAGTGTATGTTTTACTTTAATCAGATGTACTGCCCTTAACTTTCTAACCTGACTTTTACTATTCTGTATCCAGCGGTTAAAAAAATCCCAGAGTGACTCTATTACAGTTTCAGGCATGTAAATCAGGTCTAGAGAGTCCAGGCTGAGGCTGGGGACGCACGGTTTTTTGTACCAAAGGCTGAATTTGAGCACAGAACAAGGCAGCTGTTGCTGGTAATACCACTGTAGCTGTGTGGTATATGTTGCAGTTTCAAATCAGTTATTTGTGGAGAGAGACTACCACAACAAACTCACAGTTAATGACAGCACTATTTGCTGTCACAGACAATCAAGGAAAGAGAAGCCGTGGAACTACATGGGTATGTAAACTACTGCTTTTCCAAAAGCAGTATTTCCAGCCAAACAAAGAGATAACAAATAGTTGACAGCAGAGAAAGTTTTGTCCTGGTGAGATGCATACTAAGCTTTCTTTGGTGGGGCAGGGGCTGGGAAGTAGAACTGTTATTTCCTGCAGTCTGGGTTCTTTCCACTACCTCAAAATTTACCTTAAAAACAATATAAAGTAATGCAACTTGAGCTAAATGTGCAACTACCTCTTCATCGAAAAGCTGACAACAAGCATCTGACAATGGAAAAAACAAACAAACAAAATTATAAACTGTCTATAGCTCTAAACCTATAGGGGCAACCAGCATTTCTTCAAAGCAAGCACCAAATATTCACCCACAAATTAGGCAGCAAGGTTTATCAAAACACTAATTCTCAGCCTGCAGCAGTGAAGTCCTCAGCTCATTCGCAAATCAGTTTCACACTCCAAATTTGTAAGTCATTGTGCTGCCAAGTTATAAATGCGAAACAAATAATTTTTACACAGTTCTAAGTAGTTCCTCCTTCCACTTCACACAGGCTAAAATAAATGTGCTTTCTTTTACAGCATTCAGCTTCAACTACTGGCAAGGTTCCCCCAATCATGGAAGAGCATTTTGCAAATGTTCACAAGGGAGGCAGGCAGCTGCAGTGATGGTTGGTTCCTGCACAAAGGAAAAGCATTGCTGACATTTTCTTAATTGGTCAGTTCCATTTCTTCCCAAAAATGCTCTTCCTCTCTTGAAGCTCTTTTCAGAATTAACTTATTCCTACCAAGTCCAGTTCTGTTGGAAAGTCATCATGACCTGGCCAAAACCAGCTGAGACCTCTTTTTCCAAACACTTTTTTCCCCTCTTTCCTCCTATTTAAGGAATACTGAGATCTCTATCTAACTCACACTGCATCCTAGAACATTATCAGTGATTCCAGGCCTTTTGAAAGAAAGTTTTGGGTTGTTGTTCCCCCCACACTTTTCCCACCCACCTTTTATGGATGACTTTTAATCTGGGGTATACTTGATGAAAAGTGAACAAATATAGACAACTATCTCCATCCTCCTGCACTGCCAAAAGCAGGATAAACAGTAACTAGTATCTTAGTTATTCACTGCACTTGGGGCTTCGTATGCACATGAATGCCCTCTTGACATACTTTCAGCAAAACTATGACCTAAGCCCTTCAAGACATTTTCCCCATAGGCCCTTAGAAACTCAGATGTCTTGTTTCTCTTACTTTATAAAAAGGAAAATGTCATATACTTTCCGTAAGTTTGATCCACTTCGCTCTTTTTTTTTTTTGTAATATCTTTTGATAAGCTTTAGTAGTAATTAAAAAAAAAAAAAATTCTCTGGAATTCATCCTTATTGAAAGAAAAAAACCCAACAAAACAAAACAAGGAAAAAACCAACTTCAAAACAAAAACTCTCTAAATAAGGGAATTCATTTGAGAAGTCTCCATGGAGAGACTTTTCAACATTAAAAAGAGATATAAGTAGGGAGGGTAATCATCTATGTTAGATTCTTAATGGAAGATTCATCCCCATCATGATGTGGTTCCTTGTACCATTTTTAGGTCTTAATATTTATACATCCAACCCTTAGCTCACTATAGCCAGTGATCATATACAATCTGGTGACGTTTCTTATACAGGCAGCCTTCTCCACACTTCTGCAGGTGCACACACCCTGCAGTCTGCCATGTTCTGCCCCACACGATGGTAGTTATGGCAAGAGACCAAGGGCTTGTCCTCGTAAGTGTCAAATGGCCTTTACTGACTTCTACTTTCTTGCTTAGTTAGCACATGTCAAGGAAATATTAAAGGAAGAACTTCAAGGAAATATTGTACTTTCCCCAGCCTTGATCTGTTTTTTCTTCTCCATGATTTCAGACTGACCTATACCCCTGTTCACATATTTGTCCGCTTATTTCAAATGATAAATGATTTTCTGTTACTGCTGCAAGTGCAGTTTCTGAGCTTTCTCATCTTGTCTTAAATGCTACCTGAGCTGATCTTGAGCAGCCCACACTAACAGAGTTAAAAACACTACCCATTTATACTGATTAAAAACTCCTAGTTCTCTCTTTGAATGCCACTTCCCACAAGCCTATCTGCTGTGTTAAATGTTCTGCCCACACAGGCTTCTCAATGCAAAATATGCCAGCTTCTTCATCTCCCTAGAAAAGCTAAGTACCTTTACCATAAACTTACATGAGTTTTTCTGAAGTGATAGCATCAGACCATTTTATTATGCCCGTACTTGCATGAACCAGGCAT